AATTTTCGTGTCGCATATCTTCAGAGGGAGCCTCTTATGGAGACTGGGGTCTGACAATGTGCTGCCGCTTAAGATTTAGGGCATTATCCCTTCATCCCAGCTGTCGTTCCACTGCTTGAAAACCCCCGAGTCATCGATCCGCGTGCATGCTTGCCAGATAGAATGTACGCATCCGCTAGTTGCTCAAAATTATCGTGTACCGCCTAAGTGTGTTCCCGCATTTTCCGTATTGTAAAATTTTAGATCCGCGGTACATGTCCGACTTGCCGACGACTTGCCTCGATTGCCAGCAGCTTTGAATATGACGATGAAGTATCTGATGGGTCAGATGAACTCTTCGATGCTGATGATGATGAAGATGAACAGGGTGAGGATTATGAAGGGAACGATGAAGAAGACATTGATGAAGATAGTGAAGAGGATACTGAGGTAGAAAATGAAGAGATAGAGGAGGAAGAAGCAGAGTATATGGCTGATGAAGAGGAATCTGATGACCGGGAAGAGGTTGATGAAGATGAAGATGAATCAGAGGATGGGGTGGACGAATATGACGAGTTTGACCTCGCAAATGATGTAGACTTAGAAGATGATGGCCAGGAAGAGGTCGAAGATGGGGAGCAGGATGATGATGAGTTGGAAGAGGAAGAAAATGAAGGAGTCAGTAAGTAGTACAGTAAAGCCTGTCTCTATTACTTCATAGCTGTTTGAAAAAGCATCTGTAGGCACAGTAATTTACAAATTTTGTATATGCCATATTGTTTTCTAGTTGGTATTATATTAATCTCCTTAGATTTTTTAGTGAAAACCTAGCCAAAAGGACAGGTTTTACTGTACTTTTTATATTTTTAGCCTAAAAATCCGATAAAAATAGGACCGAGTTAATGCCTTGCGTGATATTAATGAGGTTTTAAAAGGTTTTTAGACTCACCTTATTAGCAAAAGATATGAAATTATGTTATAATTACTAGGGGCTGAAATGTTTAGCTTTTTGATTTTACAGTTCAGCCCAAGTCCTTAGTAAAGTATTAATTAAAAAATATATAATCCGTAGAAAATAGAGCCCTGATTTATAAGCAGGCTAAACGTAGAGTGGATATCGAAAGGTGTTATACATATCATTATGTACACTATTTACTTCGTTGTCCTATTCCATTTGTGTCTTTGCCAGTGGTAACCGGTAGAAGGTTGCTTGCCGTCAAAAAGCAAGCTCCCAAGAGCGCTTCCTCCGAGCATGTGGATGAAAAGATACGTGATAAAAAGCAATCAGTCACTCGTCAGCAAGTACCCAAATCATCCAAGAAGAAGAAGGTCGATGCTCTGCCCAAGAAGGTCAGTGAAAAGAGGCCAACAACTATTTCAATAAAAGCAAAACTTGACACAACTCATATTAACATTAAACCTCCTGTGATAAGTAATCCTATCTCGGGAGTGAATGTGGGCCAGACGAAGATCCATATAAAGCAAGGCAAAAAAGTCCATCCTAACAAGGTGTTTGGAACTTACGAGGACCACGATTGTGACGGAATCCCTGATGATGTGGACCAAGATATAGACAATGACGGCCTGCTCGACCGGACGCAGGACTCTGATTGGGATGGAGAACTGAATTGGATAGATGAAGATGACGACAACGACGGTAAGCTTAACAAGTTTGTTTCAGAGGGCTCTGCTGTTTTGCGATAGTGATAGTTAAATTCTTCCGATGCTATTCTCTATAAGTTATCAAAACATCAATTATTAGTTAGATGTATTCTGAGAAATGTTATATATATTGAAGTAATTAGGATAAAAAGTAAATTTTAGCCCGAGTTTTCATATCCCATCACCTGGGTCACTTACTTTGAACCGTACCTTGTACCCACAAGGATTAGCTATTTTCCCGCTTGGAAAGAAGTGTACAACTGATTATGAGTGCAAATAAAAAAATAATTCATTTCGACGTGCTATAAGGCGCTTTAAGCCCATCACTAGCGTACGCTATGCTGACATAGTCTTACTCAGTCAAATATGATTTGCTTTTTTAAGGGCACATATCTATATTAGCATTATACATTTGAAATTCTTTAAATCTAGGTATACCCGACAAGGAAGATGAAGATGCCAATGGTGATGGTATTCCGGATTGTCGCTCTGATACGTCGGATCTTCAACATGTTATGCGTTTCAAGAAAAAGAAAAAATACATGGATAGTGACTTTGATGGAATCCCTGATGACTTAGATGGCGACGACGATGGGGATGGGATCCCTGATATTTTCGAAGACCAGGACAACGATCAAGTTCCAGATTTCCTTCAGCTGACTATTCGAGAAAGTAAGTCCCTTATATTTTAAGCTTGGTTTGCTCATGTGTCTTCAATTATCTCTATTAGCTTCATTTTAATTCGTCTTTATTTCGCGATATAAATATTGGCTTGTCTAATGCTGAATCGTTCAATGAATCACTAAATTTGATACAGTTTAAGATTGAGGATTGCGGTTTGGCTGGCTCAACCTCTTCCCTAATGCCAGCAGAGCAATTCCAATATGAATAGATCGGTCACTTGTGTAGATTTATAGGCATACGTCAGTTACTCATGCAAATAAAGCAAGTAAATTTCTATTTGTGTTTTAAAAAAATCAGAATTTCCCTACTTTTCTATCTCTAGTGTAGCCAGCTTATAGGTAATGCATTCTATAAGCATGTATTTGTTCATGCTGGGGTTTAAAGACGGTGTTCATACGTACTTTTGGTTGATTCTCTTAATATAACTCAATTCAGCTCGGTTAAATAAATAAATTTATTCATTAGGCAGTCTTCGCGTTTACAGGAAACTTGCCAAGCATGCGATTAGAATGAAAGCACAAATGCGATATGATTATTGTTATCAGTTACCATGATTTATCTATAGCGTTTATTATCTGTATAAACCGATTCGCCTTGTAGCAGAGTCATGATCAAGAGTGTTTGTGTTTCTCAATTTATTTTCGATTATAGCTAACTGCCTCTTTTTAGGTAGAAATATGCCCATTTTTAGCGCATATCTTTCTCCCAGGGCCAGCTGGTTTAAAAAATATATGCTCAGGCCCTTATAGCGCTTGAACTCCTTGCCCTCAGATGCATGAATTCAGGCCTAACTGTACGAACGGCCTTTCAGACTTAGACAAGCCTTGGGTCAACGCAGGGCCGATTGACTTTGTGTTGCTATTTGCAATGGTGACTTACGAGAGCGGAAATTTTATAAATCAGCACCATGTTTTCTTCTACAGACTGGCTAAATCAGGTGGCAATTTGTGCTTAGTTGGCCTATACAGCAACAAAATTGTCGCTTAGAGACAGGAGTTGCGTTGCTCATAGAAACAATCTCACGTTTATTTCATCTAATTCTATCGTACATGTAGGCTCCACTACTCACGGCAAGAAGAAAGTCATCTGCCGCAACTATTTTGGCTAATCAGCTGGACTAATAGCCAACTTCCCCATTTATAAACATAATATTTACTAAGACTGGATGCAACAATCAAAACGGGTTTTGAATATCAATTGCTAACACAAATTAGAAGTCATTACTGTATTGCTTGATAGCGGGAAATTGGTATAAGGGATTGACATGCCAATTAATATATTTTTGAGCACAGTTTCCTAAATGCAGACGTAACAAATCGGATTATTCACTCTCTTTTGGTAGCG